ACAGCAGTTTCCAGTGTTGACTTTGGCATTCTAAAAGACCAACAGCCTCCTTAGATGTGGACAGCTTGTATTTGCACTTATGTCATATTGCTTCAGATGCTTCTTCTTGTTCGGTTGTGAAGATTGGTATTCAGTGTCCATTGGACATGTCTGCAGAAAGCATCTTCTAAATTGCTAGTCTGCAATCAAAATGAGGTACTATTTTTCCTAGGCTGATCATCATTTCAAGGTATCTCATACTAGTTGGAAAACAAGTGTTGTTAATAGACTTGATATGATCTTCCTTTTCACAGTATATCCTAGACTATTTTCCAGATAGATACTTCTGTTGTACAGAATTTACATGTTTGTTCAGTTTTATCCCAGCTACTTCAACTTTATTCAAACCTGTTCACAGTCCTAACTCATGGCTGGGCTTAAACCATGAGACTTAAATGCTTTTTCTCCCCCAGATCAAAACATAATCTGGTTGAAACATGAAAAGTTTGTTGTATTTTCCTGTGAAATAGTTTGGGTGCCAAGCACAATCCAAACTGCAATCTTAAGCATGTCTCCCAAATGGAATGTTGACCATGTTCAAAAATATGCTCTGTTTTTCCAACAGAACCTGCCAGAATCCTGCTGATCTATCAAAGTTAGGAAAACACTAGGCATCAGCCACCTCTTCTAGAAATTATACTGCAGTGGTAGAAGTTGTTACCTCCCTTATTTCCTAAGCAAAGTAATCTTCCACCCAACTTTAATTCTACATTTTTCGACCATTTTCAAAGAACTCCTCCTTTCAGTCTCCGTTTGGATGAGAATGTTCCTAAGGAAATTAGTTGTGGTATACCTGAAATCCTTAAGATATTTTTCTCTGATTGACAGCTTTCCTATCTCAAGAAAACACTCCCAAACATTCTCTAGATATAATTTTACTCCCGCCTGCAACTCTTCAAGTCAAATTATTTTAACCTAATGCTTTTCTCCTCCTCTGGAAATGACACAAACTGCATCTACTTCCACGTGTTTTTTTACTTATGTACTTTAGAGACAAATTTGGCTAATGGAGATAAGATCATAACACTAAACCCCGTACGCCACTCATACTGCAGACTGTGGCTTAAACTTCTGCATTAATACTGCTGGTTATGGCACAATGCTGTTCCATGCAGTCTCCAAGTAAAATTCAACTTTCTGCTTGCATTCTGGTTGATTATTCCTGTAGAATGGCAAAAATTTTTCAAGAGAACAGAGACTAGAAAATGCTTGGAGTATTTTTTTCTAAACGCAATGTAACTTCAGCCTTTCAAAAATATTTCAAGAAGTATGAAACCTAAACATTAGAGGCATGGGTCTAATAAGAATAGACACTCTCCATATTCTTACTCAGTGATGTTATTCTTACTTTTCTAGATTCTACTAAGAAATTTCTATATATCATCCAATTAAAGTTAAGGAAAAGAAGAAATCTTGAAGTTCATTTTTATGTTAAAATGCCTCAAACTGTTAAAACACTGAGTTTGATTCAGTGTTACAATAAATTGTCTAAATTCCTGCGCCACTAGTAAATTAAGCCAAAACTACCTCAACAGCAAATGGATTTACCAGCCTATTTAACTATTGCACGTATTTGGATAAGGCAGAATTACTTAAACCTCCCTGTCCCCCAAACACTCTATCAGGTCTTTACTGTAACTGTTTTATCATGTAATTTACTTTTGTAACTGTGCTTCATTATGGAGTCAAAAAAATTATTTATAGCGCAATCTCAATGCACAGCAAATATGCTGAGCTAAGCAGCAATATTATTACAAAGTATGGTGTCAACAAGGCTCTTATACATAAGGTCAAACAATTTCACTGCTGCAGAAATATTTGTGATTTTTTTTATTATTTTTTTAAAACTGCTTTGCAAGTACAGGGTAGGCCAAATGTTCCAAAAATAACAAGACAAAAAACCCCAGAGTCTGCTCTGGTGGCCATAGGGGTACACTTAGTCATGTTTCGGAAGTTTCTTCTGGAATTATGATTTCAAAAAAATCACAAAAAATAAGCCAAAAGTAAACCCAATATTTTCACAGTCACTTAACAGAATTATGATGAAACTCAAAATTACAACCAGTTAACCATCTTAATAATTAGTGGATTAATTAGGAAACACATAATATTTGTTAGAAGCTGTTTTCTCCACAACCTTTCATTATTTTCTTTCCAATAAAGTAAATTATTGCTTTAGACTCTTTTTAATGTTACCTATTTAACCTTTTTTTCTTTTTTTGGTCAGCTGTTGAAACAGAGCATTGATAGGATTTCATAACAGCCTTATATTAATGCTTTTCAGAATTAAGTTTTTACCCTATAGAAATTCAAATTTTTATTTTAGCTCTGGTTTAGAATGAAAATAAATGCATGATGTAATATTCAGGAAAGACGGATGTGTGGAGAACTTTTTTCCCTATGTTTCTTCAGTATTTTCTCTTACTTAAAATATATTTACCCAAAATGAATTTATTCCCCTTTTACAACTAGAAAAGAACCTCAGACTGTGAACATAAGTTGTCTAAAACAATATAATGGACTGCTGGAAGACAAGGGTAAGATGTCCATCACAGCTGCAGGGTATTTTAAGAGTTAAACTGGTATAATACATAACTATGGAATGTAAGGATAATTCAAATGAGATTCTACAAGGAACATAAATAAAATCACGTAAGAACATATTTTATAGTATTATGGTCATGACACAAAGAGGAAAACAGAACATAAAGAACAGTATTTGTATAAATTGTGAAACAGTACAAAACTAGAACACTGGTAGAGAACTGTGCCTTAGCAGAGTGAAAGGTATACGAATATTTGAGCCAAATACTTTATTTACTGAGCAAATAAAGAACTAAAAGAAATTAAAATAGTTTGTTTGGGAAGCAAATGTATTGTTTTTTATATTCTTATTTTTTAAAAAAGCCCCCAAAAGATCACCTTTCAATTTTAAAAAGATCTTTCAGATTTATACTCAGTTTAAAAGCAAAAATATATTAGTTGAACATATACACATGACATTCCAGCAGGAAACTGCAGAAACACATATAAGCATGAAATTCCATTTCCAACTAAAGGATTTTCAAACCTATGTTTTCCTCAAAGTTCACTGTCTATCATTTATTTTTAAGGTTAACCGATAAAGAACTCATCAGTAAAATATCCAGAGTTCATTTCTTCTGGGTATGATCATCTTTAGGATACTACAGTTGTTCTGTACCAGCTCTTTTGCCTGCATTCAGTAACAGCAGGCATCAGGCATAGATTGTCCTTGTAAAATATTTACATTTTAGTCTAGAAAGAAAATAAAAATCTGTAGTGCCATAATATGTGTGGCAGATCCTCATTGTTTCAGGCTCTGCTCCTTCTTATTAGAGAAATTCAGCAAGTGCAAAGGAGAATGACTATATCTCACAGTGCTAAACAAATGATTCTGATATCCAGTCACTGTCAAATGCTTCTACTTCTTTCAGTTCCCTGAGTATCCGTACACAGCCTTCACAAACCAAGATACTGATAGGAAATTAAGAACTTTGTAGTTCAATAGGAATTTTACAGAAATCTAGATGCCTTTGAATAAACCTTATTGAAAGTTTGAGATTACTTAATGGAAAAATTGTAAATAAAAAATAAAAATGTCTGATCAAGCTGAGCTTATAATCTTCTCTAAATGTTTAAGTAATTAGCACTGCATAGTCAGTTGGAGTTAAGCAATAAACAAGAAAGTAGAATTCATGGTTTCTGCTACAGAATCTATCATTCAGGCAGGTAATTGCAGTTCCCTACGCCTCTGCTGTTCATTACTAATATTGCTTATTTAAATAGAGGTCATCTGGACAAGAGCTGCCTTTCATCAGATGTCTATACGGTATCTTGCACAAAAAGGTGACAGTCTTTGACAGAGTTAAGACGCCATCCGTTACAAATAAACCTTCAATAATAAAGAGAAAATACAAAAAGGACAGGTATTTATCAGAACTGTTAATTTACCCAAGAACTATGTATGCAAATAAGGTAAACCCTAATTTCTTACCATTAATTTTAAGAATACAAAGTATACATTATGGATGAACTTCATGTAGAGAAATAAAATATTGAGGCTTATGGCTGATTGAATTATTTGCTGTAGCTATTTTTCAAACATTTTTTATTTCATGACTATATCTCTATATAGTCTACTATTTTCCAGTGAAAAATGTATTCAGCTATTTCACTCATTACCTAATCAATTGTTGAATAAATTATTCATGAAGAGAATTAGTATCTTTGACCTTAGGAAGATGGAAGATACATAATGACCCCAAGTAATTAGGAACTACAATTATGAATATGAAGGAAATAGGGAACAGTGTAACTGCTCTTTGAATAAAATGTCTTGCAGGCAATACGCTGTTCAGAAAAAGGTTTGCATTTGATTTCCTTTCTGCAACAGAACCATGAATATTTACAAGACAGTAATATTTTACTCTTTGCAGACAATTCCTAATTCCAGTACACCTTTAAGTCAGAGAAACAAATCAATAATCAGCTATAATTTTTTACTTTCCCAGTCAAACAAAACTGCTAGCCAGGTCTTCAGAAGGCCACTCTTGGGAAAGCTATTCTGAGTGCATGGGTGGAAATTCACGTGATTCTTGACATAAGTATATGATCAATGTCTCAGTCTAAAACATCTGGTCATCTCACTAGATGACCAGCACACAGGACATGTGTATCTTGCCACTGATATACTTTCTTTCTGGCTGATATATTTACCAAATATGACTTTGTAATTTTCTCATTTTTTAATTTTATGCTTAATGAACATTCATTATTTCCCATTTAATTGTTGTATGACATTTTACTACTGCAGAAATACTTGAATGTACAAAGATGCATGTTTATTAAATCTGAACCTGAAACCTCTCTTTTCTGTAGAAAAGTAATGGTTGACCTGACATTGTATTTCAACAGTCTCTTTTCAGATTCCATGAAACTGTTTCACTTGTGCACTGCTTAACATACAGAAACTCAGCTTCCATATTTGGACATTTATGAAGCTTTTGACTTATTTCCTGTAAAGGCAATAAACTTGAGAGTCATATTCTTGTACCTAATTATTGAAGAATTTTACTGCTGGATGTGGTAAGATTATTTTCTTTATTGCAGAGGTAGTGAAAATTTTATCAAGGCTATGGTATGTAGATGTAGAATCCTTGTTCAAATTACACATAAACACTTACAAAAGGTCCTCCAAAACATAGTAGAGAATGGCAAGCATTTTCATCCAACTTCCAAATCTGCCTGCAGAATGTTAAGTGGGACTATAACTCTTTATCATTATATTTTTAAAGTAGCTTTAAAAATGCTAAAGAAAAAAAGTTACTGTGTTATATACAATAGAGTTTTGTGTTTTGTCTTTGTTTTTGTAAGCACTTCACTACTTTTGTTCTCTTAAATTTCACAGGAATTACGGGAGCACTTATAGGAAATTATTAGCATACACATTATACTAAATTTTTACCACAGACCATTTCCTGTCATGCTACTGCAACGGTCACTAGAAGCAGGATTTCTGTGTATTCTGTGCCAAAAGACCACTCAAAATCTGTAATGAAACAAGAATTACAGGGCTTCTAACAAATAGCTGTACTTCGCTTTCGAAGTTAATTCTGGAAAGAGATAAGACTAAGGTGAAGAAGGGCAGACTGCCAAAAGTCAAACAGGTATTTGCGCTCAGATTTGTATAGAGTTCTCTTTTCTTATTCTTTATATGTTACCTCTCAAAGAACAAAGATCTTAAAATTATGATTTCTCCATTTCAACATTAATTACATAGCAAATTTTATAAAACAAGTGTATGATGAAAAACGTAATGGACTTTCTCAGGCATCATGTCTAACAGGCATGTATACCAAGTAAAAGCCATGTTGCTGGTTTGCTCTTCTTTTTACTAAGTGCTCGGAACTGTAATCTTACTCAGATTGTTTTGCAATTTTCTTTGAAGTGTTGCAATGCTGAAATCAAAATCCCATCGTGGTTTGTGGGGCTGGATGGCAAATGAAATTTAAAAGTCTGCCAGTCCTAAAGTGCTGAACCATGAATGCCAATGAAAGCCTCTTTTTTTTCTGAATGTCATCAGCATTAGAAGTTAATTTATGGACTCCTTTTCCTGAAGTGCAGACACTTAATCTGAATTCACTGACAAGCTGGCAGTTTTAACGCTGAGTTGGGTATCAAAGTTCTAGACAGAGGCAGGAGAGCAGCTTACTTGATTGATCAATATTCCACTTGAGCTGAGATACTTGCTACTGGTTATTACATCTCCTGACTACACTTTGCTGCTTCCTGCCCAACATTTAAACAGTGTACCTGTATAATGCAAAACCAGGTGCAGAAAGATATGGACACTCTTTTATTCACAGATTCAAAAGCATTTTTGACTGCTGTGTCACTTGAAAAGATTTGCCTTATTTAAAAAAGAAGGGGAAAAGGACTCAATTCATCCACTGAGTCTTTAATTTGGAAAGAAAATAACATGTATGTTATATATGGTTAGTTTTTTATAATCTTTTAATGTCTTGGAAGACAGAAATGTAAACTCAAAGCCCACAGCTGGGTTTCAGAGAGTCAGAGCTAATCTAGCCCTAATTCTGAGTAATTCTATTAGTGCTCCATCAAGGGACGAAGCATAACTGAACTGCTAGCTTCCAGTTTTGACTGGGCCTTAGTTTTTGCAGTTTCATATTTGACACTTTTTTTTTTACATGCCTTTTGCCTCCAGGTACAATGGAGTCATGGTACCATGGGCAACTCAAGGTATGGTACAGTGTTTACTCCACTAAAGATTCCCTGTTCAGAGAGTGGAAAACTCTTAACCTATTGTTAAGGCAAAGTCCACCTTCAGGATTAGCAAACAGCAGAAATATTGGTCTATCATGTTTTTATCATGCTTTCTTGAAAAATTAACCATCTTTGCAGATTCAGAATTTAATTAACAAAATCATACCATGGGGGCCAGCACACTCCTATTTTTCATTGTGTAAACTGAAAGACGTGTGGATTGCTTAAGGATGAGGGCTGAACCAGTAAATTAGACTGGGAGACACTGAGTAAGCACCCTTGTTTTATAGTAAATTATGTCATGTATTAGAGTAACAGCAAAATTTTGTACTGTTGTTAAAGCAAATAGGAAACCTATGGTTATGTCATCACTAAGCTGAGACCAATGACTCTTACTGTGTGAGCAGCCTGCAGGAAAGCAGGACACAAATATAAATATAAACAGTAGAATAATGAGTAGAGAAAAGAAACATTACAAACAACTGCTTGGTGGGGTTAGGGTGATATTCACAAGCATTAAGATAAACAGGTAAAGATAACTTTGTCAGGAGGGCTAACAATTTAAAATGACTTTTTTTTTTCCTCTCAAAGCCTGCCACATGTGCAGCTAACTTTCCAAAATACCTTTGCTACGAGTCTACCCATTTCCAAATGAATAATTACAAACTGGGTTTCCGTTGGTCTAGTTTGTTTATCTTCTGTAATAAGCATGCTTTATTGCCAGGGCCTGCCATTCAAGAGGCCAAATCAAAAATATCATATTAACTTCTTTCAAAGATGCAGCAATTCAGGCAATAGAAGAATGCAAATAAATCAATTCTGCATGCTTAAGCCCATCTCCCTTTCATGCAAGCCTGGTGATGGAAAATGATTTTTTTTTCCACCCTGCCTTATCATTCTGAGGTATGAAAAAGAGATGTTGTCACAGTAATGTAGCACAGGAAGAGAGAGCTTGTTATAAACTGATTAGAGATTAGACTGAAGGGCAGGCTTTCATTAGCTTTGTTAGATTGGGCATCATGGAGTAATTACCACAAAAAAACTTCTGAAAGAGAAGGTGGGTCCAGTGTGTGATGAATGAAAGTATAAAGAAAAGACCTAATGAGCAAAAAAGAAAAGAAGATCTTCCCTTATACAAAGCTAGAGCTACACCAACACAACATGATAAACTTCTCTATTAAGGCACTCAGGAAAAGGTACACATCCTATTTGAGAAACAAACACTTTCTTTTAGTTGTTTCTTGCTGCAGTTAGCTATTCAATCTTTCTCAAAAATAGCTAGGGATATACATCTATCTTTCCATCTGCAATTATTCAGGCACTAGTGGCAGGAATACAAGTTAGACTGGTGACCAGGTGGTTTGCTTAAAGTCAGAAGCACAGTGCATACAGCTAAACCTGGCCTTAGTGAAACTTCATGTATTTACTTACTTCCACAGAGATTAACCCATTGCAATCTGCATAAAGGTAAAGAAGCTGTTACAGACTTTATTCCTTTCCACAGCAAGAGACAGGACAAAAGATCCTTTTGTCAAACATTCAGAAGAAAACTTCAAAAAATTTGCTTACTCAGAAATATTACAGAATTCTCTAAAGGACAAATTGTTCATAAAAGGAGCAGTTCTCTATAAAATAGATTAAAGGCTGTAATGATGGTATCATTAGTTCTCTTACAATTCAATCTCATCTTTATAGAAAGCAATGACCCTCTCCACTCTATTATGTTTTAGAGCCTGATTTATGAAATAATCCCAAGACATTAATGCTGCCACAGGTAGTGTCTGTAATATTTCAGGTGGTTTACAGCACTGCTCTAACAATGGATTACATTTTGTTTGAACTCCATTGCACTTCATTGTGCAATACTTGCTTTGGAAAGCACTGAACAATACATACATAGTTTCAGTCGTAATACTTCATAAATTCCTTTCCTCCACACTTTATCCTCTTGCCCTAGTCTCCAGTGGTCACCATTTAGTCTTCCTTTGGTCTCCTTTCTACACACACACGTTTTGTCTTGCTGAATATCTGGAACAGCCTTCATATTCACATACACCAGATGCCTTTCTCCACATTCTTTAGCAAATCTCCCCATCTTCTTCTCTCATCATTAATAATCCTCTTCTGCTCCCTTTCAAGTGTGGTCTTGTGTATGCAGATATACACATACACACAGGTAATATTTTTTCCTCTCATATTTACACTGACGTTTCTTGCAGACATGGTTGACTGAGAGAATAAATATTTTAATGGATACATCATTTGAGAGGGGCCAGATAAATTGAGTTCTGAGCCTCACTCAGCCTTATTATTCACTCTTCCCCCCTCTGTGATGCTTATATTTTCTCTCTGCTTGACCAATCTCAATGGCTCTTCATAATAGTGTTCTCTTTTACATGCCATTAATAGTGCTGTTACTACACAGTTTTATTCAACAGAGCCCTGATTTCAGTTTTGGCCTACAAACCAGGATGACACAGTGCTGGATTTAACTGCAGATTTCTGAATATCATATGATGAATGGCAAGAAATTTTCTACTCCACCAAAATAACTGAATTACCCTTAACATTTTATCATGATTTACCTTAAATAGCTGAAATATTAAAGCCTAGTAAAGATAAAAGCTCACAACAGTCACAGGGGTGCTCTCAATTATACCTTGTGCTACAAAGTATAACTGCAGCACAATTATAAGGCCCATGGTATGCCCTAAATATTCTTTCTAATTTTCTTCACACCTCTCCCTATCTTTTAACCTGTACCTGTCTTACTGAAAACTATACAGTGTGACAAGGTACTGATCTGCACCAAACTTCTCCAAAACAGAGCTATGCATAACAAAATTATTTTCTCAGTCTAGAGTAAGCAGATCTGTAGTACACATGTGCAGCTGACAGAGGTCTATGCTGGACTTTTCGCTTTGGTTAGGCTGCAGTCTCAATCCTTTATAATAGAAGTCTATACAGTCATTAATAAATCAGGCAACTTTGTAACTTGATAAGAAATTTTCTCATTTTATTTTTTAATATTTTAAGTATACTTGCCAACGCTTTTTTTTGTGGTTTTTTTTTTTTTTTTTACTTTTGCCTCAAGACCTCAATTCACTTGTAGGTATTTTTGTGTGACTCAAATACCCAAACAGGTCACAATGTTAAAAAATCTTTTCACTTTTTTCCAGGAAGAGCATGAATTTTAATTAACAACAACACTTCTGCTCAACACCATGCCTTTTGCCTAACGAGTTAAGAGCTTCACACAACTTATGTCTCAAATTACTCTTACAGATTAGAGAAACAATATTATATTCATGTACTTTGGTTCATCTAAGCTGAAGTTCATGAAAGACAGGATCTTGATCCTGAATTTCTCAAGCAAGGTTTTAGGTCATCACTGCACACCACAGAGCAATTTCCATTAGCTTTTGCATTCACTGAGGACTAAATAGGACAGAATAGTGCCCATTACAAAGAGCAGTCATGCATTTGTTTGTTTTCATCATCCATACATCACAGTATTTATAAGGCAAAAAAAAAATGAACTAGTATTAGAAAGGAGACATATCATTAACAGACTAAGATCCTGCTTCTCCTTAATATTATACTTTGCAAAAATCTTTTCAAAAGACATTCTAAAATAATCAGTGCAAGCGATCATGGAACATGGTCTTTCTCTCAATTTTCTGGACAAAATTGAGAGCAAAATCATTACTTCTATTGCAAGTTTGCATGACGCAATCACTGTACCGATTGCCACAGACAGCCTGCTTCTTCCTACTACTGCAGAATCAAGTCTTCAAAGGTTTTAGGAAGAATTTAACCCCAATAGATCCTGCCATCACACTTCACTTTTTCATGGTTTGTTATTTCTACTGTGCTTGACACT